CCCCCCCCCCCAGGAGCTTCTAGAGGGAGAAGAATTTTTTTTTCGCGCTTCGCGCATATTTTGACCCCCCATAATTTATTTCTGTGTACGCCCTTGAATTTAACGGTCAGACTTAAAAATTACTTTAGATAACTTTAAACTTAATATTTATATTCGCGCCCATCTTCGATTAGAAATTATTTATTGTTTCTCTTTTTTTTGGGAAAACTTTAATCCAAGGCAAATCTAGATTTTCAAGCTTGTTTTACAAGAAAAAACAGGATTGTTAACTGTTAACCTTTTGCAAACTAGAAATTTATGGTAAATTTTTTGCTAGCTCAATTCTTTCAATTTCCTTCAATGGCCGCTGATTAAACCGCCATTCATCAGGATAATCTTGCAGAAAAAAACGACATTGAAAAAAATCAATCTTACATAAAAACGAGTATATCATATTCACTAATTATCAGACAAAGGTATGAAAGGTGCTGTAGTTAATCGTACATTCGAAAAATAGAGGTACACTTAAAATTACATATCAGTCCCTTTACTGGGACCCACGTATACCTGAATGGGTGCCAGCTGGCGGTGAAGCTGGGAGGTCACTTCGACAAACAGATAAAATTTTCCCTGAAAAAAAACCAAATATGTACATTTTTCCAGTTCCGCAAAATATCAACAAAATGAAAGTGGCGAATTTGTTTTTCATTTCTTAGAACATAATTTTTAATAATTTAGATCCGTGGTTCAAAGGATTGAATGTAAGGAATTCAGATTGATTTCTAAAGCTTTAAGATTTGAAGGTAAAAATTGGCCCTGAACTAAAAACATTTTGAACCTCCCCCCCCCATGGTCCCATTCTTTCTCTACAAAAAAATATTGTAAGAAAATCAGAGGCGTATACAGGGGAAAGGCTATCATAGTCAATAATATTTATGTTTCCCATGGGATTTTCAGCCACGGACGCTGAGCCCCCCTGCGCTATACAGTTTCCTGTATACGCCCCTGTTGATATTATTTCTTCCGAAATGAATATAAAAGTTAAATTTAATTACCCGTTTTTGATAAGGAACAAGTGTAGGAGGAAGAACTGTGATGATAATTTTGGTGAGAACTAAATCAAACAATTCATTTTCTTTTTAGATATTTTTATGTTCGTCTTTAAATTGGTTTGCCTGTTTCAGGATAAGGATCGCCACGGCTAAACCATTTCTTGTGTGACCTTGACTTTCCATTCGTAGCCGAAAAGTGTAAAAAATTAGAAAAGGGGATGGTGGAGTTGGCACATTTGATGTAGGGGGGGGGGGTACCTCTAATGACCTAAATGACCTCCAAAAATGAAAATGTTTTAACTATGGCTTTATGCATATCAAACGAAAACTGGGAACCCCAGGAATACAGTAGCAGCAACAAATCCAGTGTTTGGCCTTCTAATGACCTCTAATGACCTAAATGTCCTCCAAAAGTGAAAATGTTCTAACTATGGCTTTATGCATATCAATTAAAAGCTAGGAAACCCAGGAAAAAATTTAACATGATAAGGCAAGTATTTAATCCTTTTTCACGCTTTTAACCCAATGTTTTTTTTACCTAAAAATCTTTATTTTTCCTAATTCAGCAAATGAACTCCTACACTTTTTATTTTCTAAGAAAAAACAATGATGTTCAAAAGAGGAAAAATTTTTTGTTATGAAAATATGCATCCCTGCGCGAGAAAAAAGTAAGATTATAAATATTGTTTCCTGCAAGGAATTTGAGAAAGAAGTCGTTGATACCGACCACCCATAGTAGATCGTAGAATGTACAGACTTCGCCAGGATGGATGAAGAATGCACTGAAAAATTTATTATTCAAATTTGTTTTAAAGGGACTGTAAGCAATATTTTTAGTGACCCTCCTTACAGAGAAAACCAGACATTGCCATCTTTGCATTGTAAAACAACTTGAAATTATGCTTAGTCCCTTTAAAATGAAGGTGATAGTATCCTTTAAATCTAAAACTTTAGGAGACGTTATGATAACATAATGATGTGAGAACAATGTATCGAATTTGTAATGATGCACAAGTGGATAAGATTGTTGTCCAGAATTTTTTTTTTTTAATTTTAAGAAAGAAACAAAAACAATAAATGTGTTTCTCAAGTCTATTTATCAAAAAAGTTAACTTTTGAATTTAGAAGTTTAATTTATGAGATTTAAAATTTTAAAAAAATATCAGCATATTCACAATCAAGATCCCTGTTAACTGATTAGAGCTGGGAACTTTGGGTTGGATACAATTAATTTCAGTCATCTTTTCAATGTAAAATTACACTCCGGTTATCAAATAAAGATTACTATAATCTGAAGATTAACAAAAGATCGATATCAAACATGAATCTTGATATCCACAATACAAGAGTTCCCAGCTCTGAACTGAGTTAATCTTATTTCCGTTCATTTGAAAGTTGCCACCTACTATTGACGTAATGCTAGGTACTTTCCCAAATGATTTTTCCCATGTGGAAACTTCCCAATGATATTTTCCCTCGTGGCAACTTCCCAAATGTGCAATTCCGAAGCAGCAACTTCCCAAGTCTGTCCTAGCCGCAGCAATCGGACCCAATTGCAGCTTGCGGTGCCTCAAAGGGCCTAACCTAACCTTTAGGAAGTTGCCGCTTGGGAAATTGCACTTTTGGAAAATTGCACATTTGGGAAGCTGCCACTTGGTAAATTTTCACCAGGAAAAATGCCTTTGGGAAAGTATCTAACACCTAATGACCCACCTTAAAGAAAGTTTATCGTTGAAGAAAACATAGTAAATGAAGAATGTACAGAAGCAGAGGTTTAAGGTGACCGCAAACAAGGGACCCAAGGTTCGCCGGGCCTGCCGCCCAATCTAAACATTAATGGAATTTTTAGCGAAATTTTATGCAACCTTCCATTTATTTAGTGTCAGTATAATTCACATTAATCTTTAAATAGTTTTAGAATTTTTAGCGAAATTTTATGCAAACTCCCATTTATGGAGTGTCATAAATGGTTCACATTAATTTTAAAATATTAATGAGATTAAAAGCAAAATTTCATGCAACCTCCCATTTATGGATTGTCATATAATAATTCACATTAATCTGTAAATATCAATGAAATATTTAGCGAAATTATAGGCAACCCCCTATTTACGTAGTGTTATAAATGATTCACATTAATCTTTAAACGGTCAATATAAATATTAATGGGATTGCTAACGGCATTCTAAGCAACCCTTATCTTCAAAACGGCCCATCAAAAAATTGGTAATATAAATCAAATTAAACCCCTATTAGAAAAATGTATTTTATCATTGTAGGCTTGAAAAGTCAATTAAAAAGCCATAAAATAAAAACATACAATTAGTTGCCTTTAAGGATTGCTTGCCCTAAAGTTTTATTCAAAATAATGACAATTAAACTCTACATTTCATTTTACGCAATTAGGTATAATAAAAATACGCAAACAATAATCCTTGGGAATTTACTTATCAGTTTAATTTGAACTAAAATATGCTGGAGAACGAAATTATATGTAGAGGTGAAACCAATTGCAAAAGCTTGTCGACACTCATAAACCGACCCGGTCTCAACAGTTGGGGCATATTAAGTTGATAATTACCTGATGTTTTAATACAGAGTTGGCGTGAAGGAAGGTTAGAACTAAACCCAGGCAGACGAGAATACCTTAATACAACAAGCTCATTAGCTCAAACCAACCCAAAACCAAATCAAACCAAACCAGACCAAACCATATTTCATCTTTCATATCTATCAAATCTCGTCACGTCACGTCTCAAAAATAGACATTAACGGAAGGTTTATTCTCTTACTAAGAAATACTTTCAACCCAATTAGCTATATATTTTCCCATAAACATCTGACATCATTTTCCCATTTCAACGAATAAAACCCTAATGTTTTTTTCCTTCAAATATTCAAACATTCTAAGCTATGGGGGGAAGGGGAATAATTTTTAATGAAAATAAATACCGAGGAACCCCTGAATATAAATACCTGTCCAATGATCGAAAACGGATTTGATTAAGACCAGAAAGCAGAAAGGTATATATCTGAAACATTAATCTTAAATCTTAAAAAGTAAACATCCCTCTGATACATTTAGGATACATTTGCTTAGGATACATTTAATTTTGATGCGGATCCGGATCCTGGATCCGCACTTGATTTTTTTTTTGCAGTTTTTGGTTGATATTTTGCCACTTAGATCCGGATCCAGGAAGTCAAAATCTTGTGGATCCAACGGATCAGGATCCTAAACACTGCTGAAAACTACCCCTTCTTTCCGAACAATAAAAACAAACATAAAGGAATGTAATTTTCAGTGACTCTCTTCACAACAGAACCTTTAAAGCCTTGTATGATCAAAAATCATTTTTTTAACTATGAAAATTGATTATTTACAATTGAAAAGTTATCTACGGATTTCTGCTATAGAAAAAAAGCATGCAGATTGCAGAATCAAAAAGTTTTCAAGCCAGGAAAACGATTGCATCTTCCACATTATTGATTGGATGAAGGTTAAAGGGATACCCTTGTGAACCGGACATGCCACTTTATAAATGTAGGGTTTTTAAACTACAACAGTCCCTTTTAAAGCTTAGTTCAAGAAATCTACCTCTCACAGGCACTAGCCACTGTCCTCAGTTCTGGATTAGAATTCAGAATTTGGCTCCAGCTTGATTCCTCCTTTAAAATCTTTCATTAATTTACAACAAAAACGTTTGTATAAACCTTACTATTTTTATTGTACCCCCCTCCCCTAGTAATCTATTCCATCTATAACTCAGTAATAACCATATCTAATTCTTCCCCATGGGACCATTGCTAAAATGTCATAGTCACAGACAGTGGTGTAATACCTCTACGGTATAATTAATCCGACATAACCAAACCTCATCAGTCCAATTTTTATTAATACTTGGTAAGTTATCAAATGTTAACGGATTAGTATAAAACAGTTTAGGCGATTCTTAGTAATCAAAAATTAATACTTTTATTCAGGATCAAATCAAATCAAAACAAAAATATTTTTTCTTATTTCTATTACTGACGTATTTTCATTTGAATCCTCATATGCTTGGCCGCATATTTTAGAGGATCATGATTCAGGGAGTTCAACACCGCCTACAGTTGTTCTTTTTTTAATTGAAGTACCCGGATTTTTTATCAATGACATTGACAAACCTGTTGTGGTGGGGGTTGGGGATGTTCATGATGTGTTTCTGCCTCCGCCTCCTGGAATAAATAAACTTTAAAAGGAATGTTTCCTAAATTTTAAAATACTTATATTTCAAACTTTGCTGTCAATGACTCACAAAGCTAGGTATTCTTAATCTACGCAATCATGATGGAGTAATATTTGATTTACATTCTGACAAATTATTAAGTTCATTACAGTATAAGAAAATCATAAAAATCCGTATGTTCATTTTCCCGTCTTATGGCAGTATATGTGAAGTAACCTGATCTGTAGCATTCTGAAACCCATCCATATCCATTACATGAGAGTTCTCGTCTAATCAATTATCAATCAACGTAATTCTAAGAATTTTTCCAAAAAGTTTGATAATAATTCATATTTAGGGCATTGCTTGGTGATAGAGTGCGTCAATTTTATACAATTTCAATTTCAATTCTAAGCTTTATGCATTTAGAATAAAGATAAAAATTTGTTTAAAAATAACAAAATATTGAGATGAAATAGAATGTTTATTATTAAATGATAATTGAAAAACAAATTAATCAGTCCAATAAGTATTTTATACATAATTATAAATATTAATTATACAATTATATATTTTGTAATAATCCGATTGAGTTGCCTGTGTTCGTGTTCCAGCCAGGTTGCTGAACATTGTATCCAGGGGTGGAACTGTATCCAGGTTGTAAACTAGGATATTGGATATTGAAAGATTGTTTAACAATATATACGTGAGAGGAACTGTATCCAATATCCAGGTTGTAAACAAGGATATAGGAAAAACTCAAGGAAGATGGTTCAACAATATATCCAGGGGGGGACTGTATCCAGGTTGTAAACTAGAATATTGGATATTACTCAAGAAAGATTGTTCAACAATATATCCAGGGGGGACTGTATCCAGGTTGTAAACTAGAATATTGGATACTAGAAATTCAAGGCGCTTCGCGCCCTTCTTTCTAGCCTTAGAGGGCGCTTCGCGCCCATCTTCTAACTTAGTTGTAAACATGTTCTCTTTGTGTACATCGTAAAACAAAACAAAAATAATTCGCGGATTTTCACAAAAAATTTCGCGGATTTTCAAAATCTTTAAAAATTTAATGACGATCGAATTTTGATGGAGACAAATATTTGAAATTTTGATCATTCATAAACCTTCCCTGGGGTCCCTAGATGTCCCACAAAAAATTTGGGCCCGATCGGTTCAGCCGTTTTGACGTTTATTGGATATAAACAGACAAACAAACAGACAGACAGACAAGCCAAATTTATATATAGATTACTCAAGAAATATGGTTTAACAATATATCCAAGGGGAGGGACTGTATTCAGGTTGTAAACTAGAATATTGGATATTACTCAAGAAAAATGGTTTAACAATATATCCAGGGGGGGGGGACTGTATCCAGGTTGTTAACTAGGATATTGGATACTACTCAAGGGAGATGGTTTAACAATATATCCAGGGGGGAGGGGCTGTATCAAGGTTGTAAACTAGAATATTGGATATTAATCAAGAAAGATGGTTTAACAATATATCCAGGGGGAAAGGGCTGTATCCAGGTTGTAAACTAGAATATTGGATATTAATCAAGAAAGATGGTTTAACAATATATCCAGGAGGGAGGAACTGTTAGCTTGGATATATTCTTTAAAGTTTTTTTCCCCGCTGAATTAGGAAAATATATGAACTTAAGGGCAAAGGGAAAACTTTACAGTTTATGTCTACTCCCCAAGTCAACAAGGGGTAAATTCTTTAAACAACTAAACGTACTTTTGAAGAGGAGATGATGGAGTTGTGGACGGAGAGAAGCTGATAGCTGAGCTAGGACTACTACAAGGTCACAAGGTCAGAAAGTTTAGAATATAACTTTTTTACTATTGGTAATATTTATACTTAAGCTTAGCTATAGCTGGCCAAACGGCTTAACCAAATTAGCTGAATTTTTTCGAGCGAATCCTTCTTAAGTCCACACAGGTTAATACAACTATTTTTTCTCTACAAAATTCTATTTTTTCTTCTTCAAAATTCGATTTTTTTCTTCAAGTATTTCTAAAATACACGGGCAACGTCGGGCATGTTAGCTAGTTATACAATGAAAGCTCATTGTAATTACACCAAATAAAAGTCAAAAGGGGATATTTCCCTTGAAAAATTTAATATCCAACATTTTCAGTAATAAGAACCAAAAATGTTTTTAAAAGGGCGAAAAATAAAAAAAAAATGTTTAGAAAAACAAAACGAATTTTTTTGGGTTTGAGAAACTTGTTTTGTGCCTGGTTTGTTGTGGGTTCCAGAGGGGTTGACCCACCCATGAAGCAGCCTCGGGCCGTCCTACGGAGACATTAACGCTGGAAACTAGAACAAAACTGAGTAATAAATATCACAACCGATCATAGACAATCTAAATCCAAAATTAGTAGAATAGAACTCTTGTATTAAGTTCTAAAGTATCCTAAATCTTGAAGGTTTGATCTCAATTTTCAATGTTGGAACTTTCAAATTTGAGGATAAATGCTGATCCCTCAATTAAGGCTATCCCTGCAGGGTAAAATCAACAAGTGAAGATGTCTACAGAGGATGGAGAATGGAGTTCGATGCCTGATTTCTAGATTTACAACAATAAAGTTCTAATTTCCAACCAGCTTAATTTTTGCTGAACAATATTTAACAGCTTATTATTAAAATCAACACTTAAGAGTGAAAAAGGCCTATTTGATAAATAATTAACATCAGGTGACACTGACAACATTGAAACCAGAAATTGAAAAATAATCCCAACGTTTAAGAAATAGTTAAAAGAACCTACGTAAAGGGAGGAAAAAGAGAAAAAAGAGAGCTAAGACTTTTCCGTCTATTAAATACTTTCCACAAAAATATCTAATCTTTTCATTCAAATTATTTTTCTTTATTTATATTGATGTTATTGTGAAATAACATTACTTTACAGATGAGGGGGTTAATTAAACTTACACCCCTGGAGTAAGGTGCATCAAATAATTCATACTTTACAAGGATTGCATATATTTTTATCCATTATTTGCATTTACTCTTGGATGTTTTGGAGTTGACCGCTTGGAATGCCATATTTTTGAAAATGTGAAAAAAAATTTGTTTTGAAAAAAATGAATAGTTGCATCTGGCGTTAAGGTCCCTGGTGCCCAGGATGGTCCTGGTTGAACCCGAACAGGTAAAACACTAGAGATATGCTGGGCTAGCGAGGACGGAACTTGAACTTCCATTATAGGGGTCAAACTGCTCCTAAAACAAATAAGTATTTTAAAGGGATCAGTTTGACATAATTTCAAGTGAACTCCCATTTAAAGAGGAGCAGAGGGCCGATTCACATCTTTAAACATTTATTTGGTAATTAATGTGAAAGATGTGATCGTTTGCTTTTAAGTGTTTATTTCTGACATTTTACAAAATTTTTTCTGTGTAACATAGAAATCGCAACAACTATTAAAGTAAGATAGAACTGCAAAAAGAAAAATTTATAAAATTGAAAATGGCTGACCTGACGACATTTTGCAAATCTTCCCGGATTCTGCGCGTGGTGAGACCGTGCCGCTGAATTGGTTGACCTTCGGGTCTAACCACTGCGCTTTCCTCCCCGCCTGCTGCCCCCTGCCCACTACTAGACATTGTTAATTACCTCTGAAAAATTAAATAAATAGATGATTTGATCAGTTTTATATTATTCCTAAATAACCCTCAAAACTCTAGCACAATGTGAATCTTATTGTTATTGAGTTGAATCCATTAGAATTTATTCTATTTTTGATTTGGCAGGTACTTTGGATGGCAGGTAAGATGCACAATGGTACCCTAAAAATCCTTGTCTGAGAAAAATGCATGAAATTGTTTTGATAAAACATTTATCAAGCTAGGAAAACGACAATATCTTCCAAATCAATCATTAGATTAAGATTTAAGGAGTACCATTGTAAATCAGAAACGCCCAATTGCCAATTTCAGACGGAGTCGCATGAAATTACAAAAAAAATTATAACCATTAAAACAACTAGTTTTTAATTGAAGTCCAAAATACCTCTATGAAAAAAAATGGGGTTAGAATAAGAGGAATAAATATATCTCTGGCACTTCGAGTCAGAATGATGTTATGAACGTGTGATCATTCAGCCCATTTATTAAATACTATCCTTTAAATATTTGTACATTATATTGTTTAGGCATTTAAATGATTTTCTTCTAAATGACTACAGGTTTGACAAAATATATTTTTTGATTAGATTTTAATTTATTTCTTCATTTCTTCATTTCTTCTTCTCATCAACAACATCGAACTCGTTACAGTCTAAGTCTGAAATAAATAAGAAATCAAAACAAACAATTTATTATCAGATCTTAGAAGGACTAAGGGCAATTTCAAGTAAAGATGGAAATGCCCTATTCACACCGTTAACCTTGAAACCTTTAACTGATCAATAATATGGAAAATAGTCGTTTTTTCTAGGTTCAATTCTGATAATCCCCATGTTTCCCTGTGATAAAAACGCACTTTTGTAATAAATTATTGCAAAGTTATAAACATTGATGTATAACTTTAGATAAAGCGTTTAAGGGTACCGTTGTGAATCGGACATTACCATCTTAACATGTTGGGTCCCTTGAAGCATCACTTACAATCCCTTTATGAACATTAAATAAGAAATATTGCTAAGAATAAAATTGTATTTTGCGACTTAATTAAAAAAAAGTGTCCAAGGACAGTTTAAGAGATACAAAGATAGTAAATACATCCAATAATTGTAATTTTAAATCCTAAAAATCATTTCTTGATTAAAATAAACAGGACGTTCATTCCAGCGTTTTCTGGTTCTAACTGTAAAAAATTTCATAATTTCTTGTTCATTATTTTAAATATAAATAAATGAGAGGTGAAATTCCTAGTCCAATGTGTGATTGTAAATAAATCCTATGATCAGGCATAATATAAATAACATGTTTCAGATATAGGATGGTGACTGCTAAGGATATCATAGAAGTAAGAAGCATCCTCAACACAAAGTGTGGTTCCCTTGTTTCAGCTCAAGACTTTCTTTGGGACAAGATAAGAAGTTCAATGAGTTTCTGAGAGAACTCAACATAGAGAATGGCTTAAATCCCTACAATCTTCATAAGACAACTATGCGCAAGGTTAAGGGAAAAGGAATAAAGGTGGTTCAAACTGCACATCAGGTTCCATGCATCCAAAACATAAGAAATAAGAAAAATAACCTAAGTGTGCCAGTATAGAAAAACTCCAGTTAGACAAAAATATATTAATATTGATTAAATCATTTATTTAATACTTACAAAACAGCAGAATAAACACTAACATCATTAACTGAGCCCCTGAATGGTTCATTAATTAGTTAATAAAAGATAAATTTTCGTAGATTTTTTTGTGAATGGATGAAAACTAAAGCCAAAAAAATACTAGCTAGAGAACACAGAATTTTTCAAAAAAAATCAATCCATCAATCAATCAGTCAATCAATCAAATTAATGAACTCCCTCAACTTTGAATGTTGAAACCAAGCTTCGGAGTTGCCCAATACAACATTTGAAGCAGCTTGATCAAGGGGTTCCTGAGTTATGATTGAACACACAAACAAGCAGAAAATAATACCAAAATGTGGGTGTCTTACCTATTCTCAGGAACCAACGAAGAAACAAGAAATAGCAATAGGCATGCAAGTCAAACAATCTAAAAAAGGTGTGAAGGTAAACTAAGGAATCAAGTCTTTGCCACAAATTCAAATTTTCTAATCCCCATATCTTTGCAGCCCAATAGTGTCAACTTTTGATATTCAAACTTGATTATTTTAACTAACAGAATTCATAGTTTGGAATATCTAAGGGATACAACATTGGTTAACATTTAATTACAAAGATATAGGAGCTGCCTACCACCTTCAGAAGAGAACGGAACTCTCATATAGCAGTCCCAGGCTTTAAAGTTTGGTGGAGTGCTGTGTTTAGTTGCGCATTTTGTACAAACAAGACTTCATCTTCAACCTGGTGTAAATCCCAAATAGGTATATAAGCCATGCACAATGATACCAGTTTTTTACTCAACCAGCAGTGAGGACCGGACTGCTGTGGAAGATTCCTCTCCGTGGGACTTTTGGGCTTATAACTCCCCATTTTGCATAAGGGGGTGCAGTTATTAGTTTTCTTATGCCCCTTAAATCGAAAAGAGTATAATAGAAGGAACACTGGGAGCAATCCTCTATACCCTTCCTCCAACAAACATCCTTATCTTTCTCCTACCTGCTCCTTAACTCGATGTCAAAAGAACTATTTTGGAGAGGCCTCAAAGTGTAGAAACAAGAAGCAAGAAATAAAATTGAATAGGAAATCTCTTGATATTAGAGATGGGGGCTTGGAAGATGTTCGCCCCCCTTGCCGGGGAGAGGGGTGAGACAATTGCTCTCCCCCCTCCCGCGCCTTAGAAAATATTAGGAAATTGTGTTTTTACTTAGTCAGATGCAACTCAAGAGTCAAGAATTCAATGTAGAGTTCCAAGAAAAGAAAACAAGATCAGCGGCTAGTTCAATTAAATACAGGGTTCAGAAAAAAAGCAAGATCTTTTAAAAATAGTTCTTTCTTGTTAAGTGGCGAACTACAAGGAAATTCAACAAAAATTTTTTCCTTTTAATTTTCAAAATTAACCAAAATATGATTTAAAGATGTACATCAAGAAGAAAATGAAGAACAAGTATAATATAGAAATCTCAAAATATTTTCATCTGATATCATATAAATATTTAAAAGTATTGTAAAATTTAATAAAATAAATTATTAAAGTTAAAAACAAAGATAGAGGAATTAAAAAAATCAGAGTTTGTGGCAAAGACTCAATTCTTGTATCATAATATTTTCGATTCCCACGAAAAAGAAAATGTGTATACTGTGTAATTTCTTTCAAAATTTTTTTAAAAAATTTAATATTAAAAATTTCTCATAACCTTTCGCTTAGATTTTTCCGTCCACCAAGCATCAAACGCGTCTAGAAAGAATGAATACAAAATATTTTGATTTTCAAGACCCACAAGAGGAACCATTCATTTCATTCACTGATTTTCAAAAACTTTAATCAATGGATCAACTTGATAAGTCATCAAAACAGACAAATAAAGGATTTTCCATTTAATTGTTCAGTGTAAAGCCCAAAAAATACAAAGAAGTGAAGCTAAAAATTAGATTTAGACTTACTCTGTATAATTCGAAAGCTCTGTCTACCATCTGAATGAATTTCTGATCATGTTTTCGAGCTAAAGGTCCATAAAACATATCTTTGTGCGACTGAGGACCTGAGAATCTTCCTTCAGGTCCATAATCAGGTCCCTCAGGTCCATCAGCTCTTCCTCTCTTTTCATAGTAACCGCTGAAGGAATCTGGACAAATTATACAAACACTTAGGATTTTTATCAGCAGGAAAACGAACGTTACGAGACCCTCCATGCAAAGATGACAATGTCTGATTTACAACAGTACCCTTGAAACCTTTATTGGATCAAAAATGTGGGAGAAACAGTCGTTTCATTGACTCGGAATTGTTCATTTTTAAAGGAATTTTTCAATAAATATTTCCAAAAAAAATACGTTGTAAAGACGTACGGTGTTATGTGTTTGAATTCCTCTGTGATCATTGTTTTGAGATTTATTTCTGTTGCTCATCTTTTTCCTGTAGATTACACAATAATGTATTTCAATTCTCCCAAAGTTAAAATGTCGGAGTTTATATGCCAGCCTTTGTCAATATCTTTTTTAAAGATGTTTTATCGAGGTTACTCCTTCATAAATTTGAGATATTTCATTATTGTCATTCCTAATTCGAGCATTTCGTTCAACATTTTTCACCCAATCGTCCACTGTCCTATAAGTATTGAAAGTATAAATTATAAAACTAAAGTGAACAGATTTTTAATGACATTTAATTGATGCTCCGGATTAACAGAAATATTTGTCTGGTTACTCAACTGGCTTTTTCTCGTCTACTCCAAAACTCGTCATTTCTGTTAAAATCGTTGAGCGGATCTGTGTAATATCCAGAATATCCTCCATATCCGGTTCCACGAGGACCATTTCCTGTTCTTCGAGGACCACTTCCGGTTCCAGGAGGACCTCTTCCGGTACCAGGTTCATTTTCTTTCCCTTCCTTTATACTTCAAATTAGAAAAAAAATTTTTTTTTATTGTTTCTGAATTAGTTGGTAGAATGGTTTTGTTTTCAACCAGCGCTAGTGTATGCTGGACATAAACGGATAACATCTATAGGATTCAAGAAAGGAATCAAGCCTTTCCCACAAACTGATATAGTAAACCTTTGATATTTCATGCTTAAGTTGATTTGATCTAACAGATTCATAGCTTGACATATCTCAGGTCATATCATATTTGGTTGCAAAGTATAGGGATTGGAAAATCAGAGTTTGTGAAAAAGACACAATTCCCTTACAAAGAAACTGGGTTCCGGGAAACCCGCTATTATTAAATTTCAAATTAATGAAATGGCATTAAGTTTAGCTGATACACCCAAAAAATGTAGGAATGAAATTGTAAATAGAATTAATAAACATATCGATTCTGTTTAAATCTCAACATATTATTTTTAAATAAACAACATACATTAGAAACCTTTTATTGAAAAATAAAATCTAAAAATCTGATCTCTTTGAGACAGGAAAAATAATCACTTTCAATGAGGAAGGAGGCATAAAAAGTTGAGAGTAAAAAATAAGAATGAGAAACAAACAAAAAATGCAAAATTTGCTAGTATACCTGGTTCTGAGTGTCCGGCAGAGCTATTAAAGTATCATATGCAGTCCTAAATCAATATCTTATAAATCAAATTTCCACTGTATTGACAAAAACTAGATTTTTCTCCTCGTAGGCACTGAGACATTTTTCCTAATATCATTTTGCGAGCGTCAATATTTTGTCATACTTTTACGATTAAACTACGAATTCGGCTCCAAAAGGAGCGAAAGCAATATTGATCCGGATCCAAAGGAAGCAATATTATTGCAGATCCGGATCCAGACTATTGTAGACCCGGATTCAAATAAAATGTGAAGAATCTGGAGGAGAAAAATATTGCAGAACCGGATCCATAGCAGTGATTGTTTAATTACCTAATATCCTGATATTCGGATGTTGAGCAAACATTTACATTTTTGTCCGGGTGATAAATCTAAAATAAAATATTGATACTAAATTAAGAAAAATCCATCAAATCTAAATAAAATAACATATTGCAACTGTATAGTAGTAAAACTGTTTCATAATTTTCATATTGAACAATTAATCATATATATATATGTATGTATGGATAATGGTTTTTCTCCCAACCTATCAGAACGTTTTTCCTTTTTAATACCTTTCCTTTAACACTCCTATATCCAGTATCTACCCGTAAAGGGGTGAATGAGGAGTTTCTTAAAGAAGGTAAAATAAAAAAATTAAAATAAATATTTGTCAATTAATAAATCAACCTTAGTTCCGTAGAAAACGAACATTAAGNACTACTCTAACTATTCCACTTTTCTCTACTCTAATAATTCATCTTGAAAATCCGTTTTTGCATATTATCCTGCTACCTTTGATAGTCTAATATATGCATCTTTTATCTCCTTCTTCTTCGCGCTTCTGTGCAATCCTTATAAAATATCCAACTATTTAAATCTTTCTGACAACAGACCGGTGTGAGCTAAATAGCTCGGAATAGGGATAGTTCTATTGATGCAACCCCATCAGTTCTCAACGAACCCGGAGCTAAACTCATATTGGATAGCTCCATTGATGTAACCCCTTCAGTCTTCACACGAACCCGGAGCTCTGAACTCATACAAGGCGAATGAAAGGCGGAGAGTTCCTCAGAGCTCCGGCTTTCCATGCTTTCTTAGTATCATTTTTAATTTACTTTGAAATGACAACAATATATTTCTTACTTGTTACAAATTATCCTCGAAAAACGTTTCAATATCGTTAAACTATGTTTATGTGCCTTAAAGTGAATGATATTTAATCTGTTGATGCAATTATTTGGATCAAAACATACAAGGAAGTAATATTTAAGTTTTCACCTTTCAAAAATTTATTTTACTACAGGGTGTCCAAATAAACATGGAAGTTGAGAGACGACTTTCATGTCGTCTTTGATTTCCGATAATTTATAAATTACATAAAATGCATTAAAAAAGGTTGAAGGTCTAATGAGCTTTCGAAAATGTGGTCTACCTTCTTTGTATATATCTCTAAAATTGACAGACATATTAAACATTTGAACAGTTTTGTTGAATTTTATTAAACTGGAATCTGAACACATTTCCAAATATTTCCGTCAATTTTGAAGATGAGAAATGGTAGACCACGATTTAGAAATCCCGAATGTAAAATCTAAACTATTATTCTAGGATAAACTACAGCCTGTGAGAAGATTTGTGAATCAGTGTGATCCTGTCAAGAACTTTCTATGCAGGGTGATTTTTATAAATATATAATACTAATTAATTGTTATATTTCAGCTTCACAGCTAGATGATCAAGAAATAAATTCTAAAACTATGTACTAGACTTGATTATTCTGTGTACGGGGTGGCGTATAAACAATACATTGGTTAAATAGTTATGCACTTCTATTGTTCCGACGCTGAAAGTTATAGAGAGATAAACTAAAAACTGAAAAGTGCACACCGAAACTCGTACTTTTGGGTGTTCAATGTTTTAACTGTGATACTACACAACTGTGTTTTCGAAATAACACCGATTGGATTAAATAAAAGTCGTCATTTAATTCCCATGTTTAATGGGACACCCTGTATATAAAATATTTAGAAGTTTTGAAATTAGAATAATACTTATAATTGGCCGGAGTTGTAAACTTACATTTTCGCTGAAGTAACATGAATGTTTTTTTTTGAAGCTTGAGTATAATCTGTGACGTCATCTTGGTAGATTTCCCCCAATTATTAATATTTAATCCTTGAAAACTTTTTATTTCCCCCCCAAAAAAATGTCTTTGACAAAAAAGAAAACATTATTTTGTGGTTTCTCTGAATTATAAATAGCTGGATATATTCCTAAGACATCGTAAGGGTTTTTAGTCCCAGTGCTGTACTTTTGTCGACCTAAATTTAAATAATTAATCTACAATTTTCAAAAATATTCCGGCCTAATGTAATTGTTTGGAATAACCGATCATTTAAAAATGTTTTATTTTGAATTCATAATCTTTTTTTCCTTGGGCGACAAGAAGCCTTAAAGGGAGTGTCTGGCTAGACATCGTAGTTGAGCTGAGAATACAGTATTGCAGAGAAAATGTTTAGGATTCATTTGAGATCTATGAGATACAAATATGGAATTTATTTTTGGATCCTTATTAGAGGTTTCAAGAGTCGCTGAAGAACTATTAGTGATACTTTATCAGTTTGCATTGATCTCGTTTAAATAACTGCAGAGCAGGAAAGTTTTAACTGAACAGATTTAGCGTTTAACGAGTTCTTAATGATTTAAAATCAAGTTCAACATTTGTAATTTTAACTCCAAATATTTCAGTTAAGGTTTATTTATTACAAAAGGTTGAGCCCAATCTTATTGTCTCCGACTTCAAACATCTGGGCAAGGGTGTAACAAGTATACTTGACAATAAATTCCTACCTATACTTGGCCTGGCCCCCCAACCAAGCCGAAACATTATCTCATCTTTAATCTGGAAAATTAAATTAAATTCTTAATTTGTTTAAAACTCGGTTCAAACTTTACAGGTACACAGCTAACATATAGTATTAGCAAAGTTTCTAATACATAAATGGAAAGTGAACAATATATGGGGAATTTAGAAAAAATACTAAAATGTTTGAAGTCTATTTAAATAATTTATAGAATTACGTCAGAAAAAAACGCTTGTTTTAAATAATCACATTTAGATAATTTAGTTTGACTGTAAAAATCACAGTCCAGTGGTTATTTTGTTGATCACAGGCAGAATCCAAATGCGGGAAAATAAAACTCAAGTTTCGCGGATTTCATATCTTTTTATGGTAAATAAAAACACTTAAAACTGATTTGTGAAATGAGACAAAGCTGAGATTGTAAAATGAAATGATAAATGAATGTTTAATTCTCGTGAATAACCCTGAACTTGTTTTGCAGGGAACATATATACGCTTGATGAAGAGATATAGTAAACTGGTCATCTGTCTCCAACATGTACTGTAGCGCCTTAACATCAACATCATCAACATCAACATCAACATCAACATCAACATCATCAACATCAACATCAACATCAGCATCAGCATCAGCATCAGCATCAGCATCAGCAT